CAAAACCCCATTTCAATTCCATGACACGCTTCCTTCTATTCTTGGAAAATAAAATAATTACTTATATATAGTCGTCTAAGTTCTTTTCGTATTGATTGAAAGTATATTTTAAAACTATTCTTTTAATAAAAGGATTTTTGAGTTTTTCTTTTCACTATAACAATTTTAGAGATTTTTCTTAATCTTTTCTTTTTAATTTACACTAAAAATATTTTCAACTGATAGTTAGGCATTAATTTTTTCCAGACATATAAATTATCAAAATAAATATCATTTCTCTTAACAAAGACCAGGAAGCTAATGTAGGGTCAAAAATCTTGATCTTCCTCAAGTAAGAAATTGTTTCGTATACAGCAAGTTTTTAAATTTTTTTAATTAATTTGGAGTTGAAAATGTTAGTTAGTAAGTTTTTTTTTATATCTAATTTATTATTTAAAAATAACACTTTGAAGAAATATGTTTTTTGAGAATATTTATTTATTTTGCGTAAAATTGTTCTCATGTGGGAAGATTTTACTTTCTTGAGTTGAAAGATTTTTTTTTTTTTATTATAGTAAAAATATTGTGTTAACTCCATTAACTCATTTAATATGATAAATAATTAAAATTTCTTGATAATCATATTCTTATGAATAGTTAAAACTTGTTTAGTTACTCATAAAGGTTGTTAAGAACATTCACACATTATTCTAGGAAATTAAAGATTTTTGTATTATTTGATTGTAGTAGAATATTTTTGGGTGTATAAATACTTTTTAAAAAATATTTTTTATTAAAATAACTTCATTAGATATATTTATTTACTCAAATTTTATTACAAATATGACATTAAATTTTTTTTATGATCTAATTATTTTTTGAAGATAATTAAAAATTAATTGCATATATAATTTTTTTATATAATAATATTTGAATTTGATAAACCTTAAAGTATTTTTTTTTTAAAATGTATAGTTAAAAATTATTTAAATACAAATTTTAATAAAAGAAATAAAAAAGAAAAATTTTACCTTATAATTACGAAGAATAAAAATAGATTATTTTATTTCATTCAAAAAAAAATAAGTGTTAGCAAATACTATTAAATTATATAAATAAAATATACTTTAATAATATTATTAAAATTGACCATATCAATAAATAATAAGATACGAGTAGAGATGACAACGGGACGGGTCGGGTACGGGTTTTATGATACCTGTCCCGTCCCCGCAATACAAACCCATCCCCGTACCCGTACTCGTAAAAAATTATTTTTTTTTTTGCAAAAAAATACATAATATTTTTAAATTATTTTTCTATTATATTATAATTATAATTAGATTATTTCTTTATTTCATATTTTAATCAAAAGATTTCTTAATAATTACACAATTATAAATGTTTCACATTATAATAAATAATTACACATTAAATTTTTTTAATATAATTAAATTGGGTACGGATACGGGTACAGGCGGGTATGTATATACACATCCCCGTACCCGTACCGCCCCGTACCCGGTTTAATTTATCGGGTTTTACCCGTACCTGTACTCGTACTTGATCAAACCGGGTATTTCCCGTCAAAGTCGGGACGGATTCGAATATTACCTATGAGTACAAGTTAGAGAGAAAGAGAGAGAGAGAGAAATAAAGAGAACAAGAGAGAAGGAGAGAGGAGGGGAAGTGAAAGTTTGTGTGTGTGAGAGAGAGAAATAGGAGAGAGAATGAGTTGTGAGTGAAGTCACCCTTTGGGATAGGAAATATTAAGCTTTGTTGGTGATAGAGTGAGGGTGAGGTGCAAGGCCGATTTTAACATTTTATAAATCATAGGCAAAATAATAAATATGATCTTATTTATTTATTTATATATATATATATATATATATATATATATATATTCTTGATAATTACGTTATTGATATGATATTCATCAACTTCACTAATAACTAATATTTATTGTAAAATCTAATTAGTTACCTAATATCTTATTTAAGGAGAATGGGTGTAGTATTACTCAAATTAAAACATGTTATTTTGAATACTTATATATAAATATTTATAGCACAAAAATCAGATATATAATTTAATTAAAAATGATCAATATTACAGGAATTTAAAATCATATCACAAATTTATATTCATATAACAGATACGTTTATTTTTAAAAGTAATATAAAATAATATAAAAAATTGTCAATTTTTTTTTTTAAATAAAATTGAGCTCCTCTTAGTGATAGGCATGGCGCAACCGCACGTGCAGACTATCCTCAAGATCAGCCCCCACAAGATACAACAGTTGGATCGCTTTTTCACTAGCTAGAAAGTTAACCCGTGCTGTACAATACAATTTTTTTTAAAAGACCACATATATAAGGTAGGATTATTATGCACCGATTTTTTTTCTCTCCATCGAGTAAAATTTTCATGAGTGAAATAGTTTTTCTTTTAAGTATTTAATGTAATTAATATTGAGAATTTAAGGGGTATATTGATTTAGGATTTTAAAAAAAAAAATTTAAGTCTGTTGATATTTAATCAAGAGTTATGTCACTTAAAAATAATTCAATAGTATTTAATCTGGATTTTCAAGATTTTTTAAGAGTCCATTAAAATTCATTGGTATTCATTTAGAACTTTTTACAACTTTAAAACAGTTTATTGGTATTCAAAAATATAAGAATTTTAAAGGATTGTTGTATTAGACGGATTTTGAAGGACTTTTTAGTTTTTTTTTATAAGCAAAATAGAATTAACAAGAGTACAAAGGGTACTCTAACCTATATACACAAAGTATTTTACAAAAATAAATAAAGAAAGTTAATCCAATCCACGTCAACTCAAAAGCTCACAAAAAGAGCGACATAATAAACCTATATCCTACAAGCTTCTCATATCTCAGAGAGCTAACAACTAATATGCAATATTAAGAAAGACAGACCCCAGGAAAATTGGACCAAGAAAAAAAATCATAATTTAAAGAAAGGAATCTGGCCCTTAACCATTTTGATGAGCGTAATTGCACCAGATTTAGCATTTCAGAAACATGAATTATTTTAGAGCTGAACATGAGATCATTTCTAGCCAGCCAGATGATCTTAATAACAGATAACCAGATAAGAATCCAACAATTATGATACTTCGCAGAACAATAATGAAACCCATAAAATTGTTCCAAGATTTGCACACAACAATTATGCATAACAGAATTTAATCCTAACCAATTGAAGCATGCCATCCAGAGCTGAAAAGAAACCTCACACTCAAAAAACAAGTGAGAAGTAGTTTCTTCCTTATTCATACACAAACCACATTCCAACCGTGATGCTTGCAGAACACCTCTTCTAAACAAATTATCCTTAGTTGGGATTCTATTCAAAATAATCCTCCAAGCGAAAGCTGAAACTTTTGTTGGAACAATGTTAGTCCATATCCACCAAATATAACATTAGATAAAAATTTTATGTCGTTCCTCAAGACCTTATAAGCCGAGCTAATTGTATACACCCCTTATGGTGTAGCAATCCAAGACCATTTATCTTCATCAGAAACAATGAACTTCGTACAATTGAAAGACTTTTTAGTAGTATCAATAAATACAAAATTCATAAAATAATCTCATCCAAACCCATCAGATTTTGAAGGATTGTTTGAAATGATTTTTCAAGTGTTTCAAGAATTTTTAAGTGAGTTTTTCATCTTTTTTTTTCTATGCTCTTATCTTCTCTATTTGTTTTCTACTAATAATATTGCATTACTGCTCATATATAATATTGTATTACTGTTCTTATTTCATTCTCCTATTTGATGAAACTTTAGTGCCTAAAGGACAATGTCATTAACTTGTTATATTTTTCTCTTCGTTCTCTTTCATTGATTTGCTTTTATTTTACTAATTTATTTAGTTGAGTTTATTCATCATATATATAGCAAAAAAAATGCTTGAAATTTCAACTTTTAAGTAGTAATTTTTTTTATAACACTCATCAAGAAAAGTGAAAGGTAAAAGCTGAAATTTATATCATGATTTTTATAATCAATTATAGATCTTCAAGACCTTCTAATCAAGTTAGATTTATTAGAACAAATATATATATATATATAAAAGATGAATTTGAGTTAGGATTTTTATGAGTAGAATGAGACGAGAATGAATCTTAGTTGGGGGAAGAATCCTTTCAGCACAAAAACAATGATCTCTCTTCCTGCTTTGAGTTTGTTATTGTTATCGTTCCTCCTTTTATGACTCAACAATTATTTTATTTCTTTTTTTTTACTATGAATTTTTTTAATTTTTATATTGTGAAATTAGGATTTTTTTATATTTTTAAAAGGAAATTAACATAAGATATTGTGATATCTTATAATTTAATACTAAAAATATTTCTCCGTGAGTGAATAATTGAAAGCAATTAAGAATTTAAAAAATTTGTCTTTGACTCTTTAAATTTAAATGTATGAATTTTTTTTTTGAACTTTTATCGTATATAAAAAATATACGAAATTCTGCAAAGTCTACAAGATCTTGTAGAATCTATTAAAATCTTGATTTAAAATACTTGCCAAATCTATTATAATCTTGATTTAAAGACTTACAAAATTCTGCAAAATCTTAAAAGTCATGAAAATTCTGTAAAGTATTTTAAAATTAACAGACTTTTTTCAACTAAAAAAATTCTTTAAAATCTTAATCGAATATATTTTTTAAGACTTTGTTTGATTATGTCATTTAATTTACACCCTTGTTGGTGATAAATAAAAAAGTTAAATATAAAAATAAATAGGAAAATGCCAAGTTGCATCTGAATTTTCAAAAGGCACTGTACGGGCCTAGAAAATAACAATGTAAGCGCGTGGAGTGGAAATTTCCTGGCAAACCAAATGATACTTAATGCAATTTATTTTCTGCATTTCACTCGTATTGCATTCCCATTTGTCTTTTTGCACCTTTGCCTAACTTTCCCAGTCATTGATTCTCCGAAACCGCTTCTACCAGTTGATCTATATATACACATCGCGAATAAGTGCATGAGAATTGGACTCAGCAAAAACAACGAAGAAAATTTTCTTCTTGTTGGTACGGCACATAAGTGAGAGAGATCAAACATGGAAAATATGCCACCAGGTTATCGTTTCTACCCCACAGAAGAGGAACTCATTTCGTTCTATCTCCACAATAAACTCGAAGGAGTGATAAAGGACATGAATCGAGTTATACCAGTCGTTGATATATATGCCTACAACCCCTCTCAACTCCCACGTAAAAATCTTATATTCCTTCACCTCTCTCTTTCTGTCACTTTTTTCTTTCAATCCAAATGGATTTAGACTTAAAAGCTATGTGGTTCAAGTGTTTAATTTCATATTATTCGAAGATCAAGATTGGATAAAAATACTCTTTTTGGCATGCATCACGAGGTTTGATATTAACTAATTGTACATATGTGATATGTCATAACTCTCAATATTTTATGATGTTGCATACTTGGAATTAATTAGCAAATACGTTCCGGGTCAAATCTGAATACGTAAAACATTAATTAATAATTAAATTTTGGTGTGGCAGAAATTTCAGGAGAGGCTAGTCTGAGAGACACGGAGCAATGGTTTTTTTTCATTCCTCGGCAAGAGAGTGAAGCTCGAGGAGGAAGACCAAAGCGTTTGACAAATAGTGGGTACTGGAAGGCTACAGGGTCTCCAAATCATGTTTTTTCTTCGGATAATCGCATCATCGGCATTAAAAGGACTATGGTTTTCTACAGTGGAAGAGCTCCTAACGGAACCAAAACCGATTGGAAGATGAATGAGTATACAGCCATCAAAGGTGAACCTTCCTCTTCAAACAAGACAGTTCCCACGGTACGTAAATATATTCAAGTCTAACAATTAGAGTCTATCCCATGGCAAGGTTTGAGATAGTATACATATGATTTAAACTTGTATTGTCGACAAAGAATATGTATAAGTCTAAAAATTAGGGTTAGCTATAGATTATATTTTGGTTTATGTTGTTGATGAATCTTGAAGGTCTACTGTCTCTACTATCTAGGTTGACTCTTCTTCCTTCATGAATCATGATATATAATACATAGCAGGGCAGATAATTAATAACTAACTTGCAATTAATAATTATTGCAGTTAGATGAACTTGGTTTGAAGCCCTATAACATGAAATTTCGTAGATACGTTGGAATTTTATTTGCCACGTGATAGTGCAGTTTTTTTTATTATTATATCATACATAGAATCATAGATCATAGTTGCACTTCTCAAATAATATATTATTATTAATTAATTGCAGTTAAGGAAGGAATTTAGTTTATGTCGAGTGTACAAAACATCAAAGTGCTTGCGGGCATTTGATCGACGACCAGCGCCAAGGAGGGACGTAGGAGGCTATTCCGGTGCTCAAAACAATGATGAAGAGCAACAAAAGGGTTCAACATCTTACGATAACCCTCATCATACGGTGGAGAGAAGAAGTGCTACAAGTTCACCTGAGACTTCATCAAACGGTGAGGAATCTACCCAAATGGATGTTGACAACGACCCTTTTCTGGATTGGGAGAAAGTGGATTTGTTCTTGGGATCAGAACCATGAACAGATCCAATAGATGATCATGATACCTTGCTGCTACAACAACTTGACTGCTTCAGTCGTCGAATTAGCAGAAGGTTTATGTTTATTACATATCTCGCAGAACCACTATACTATAATTTCTTTCTTGTTACTATTAAGTGGTCAATAATCTAGCTAATTTATAATGTTGTGTAGTGACTAATGTATCTAATGAACTATATTACAAACTCTTCGTCTTATGATCAATCGCACCACTATTTGAAATACATTCGTCATTCATGTGGATATCTAAGATTGAGTAAAGAACCCTGACTTCATGTATTTTTCTCTTTTTAACCTTGTATATTAATGCAAGAGGACATTTTGTTTCATATATGTCACCTTTTATTTTTGAGAATGTAAGACCATTATTATCATGTTTGCTAAGAAGTTATTCTTTCGGTCATTATTATAAGAAGAAAAAAAAGACTAATTTCACATAAGTTACTTGCACTGAATTAATTTTTATTAATTTCATTATTTTTTTAAATTATTTTTGTTATAAATGTCAAAAAAAAAGTTTTACAATTAAATAATCATGTATTAAATGGATGATATTTTAAAAAAAGTACCATCAAATAAAGTAAAAATAGATGAAATTTATTTATATGTTTTTACGATGAAATTTGTTTATATTTGAGAATAAAAATTTTGTATTATTTTTTGTTTATAAAAGAAGAGGAGTATGCAAAAAAATTTATGAGTATTTTTTATTCTCATGAAAATATTACATTCCCATGTGTACACTACAATAAAATGAATTTTTAGTGATATTTAATATAATTTTTAGTTACAATAAAATTTGCTACAAAATCTTTTATGAGCATTTCTATATTAGTCATTGTATGCAGTGTTACTAAAATATTTATTAACAATTATTCTGTATGTTGATAAAGACCCTTATAATAGTTGAAAAAAGTGTATATCTATTGTAGTATTTTTTTTATTGATATTTAATATTTTTTGCTATTGCCACTAAAAATTTAACAAATAATTCATAATACTCTTCAATTACCTTATATTTCTAGTGAATGTGAGACTTGTAAGATAAGTACAAGTACTCTTTAATTACCTTATCTCTAGAGTTGTCGTCTACTTATATATTTTTTAATTTTCTAATTTTTTTAACTGTCTTATCTTCTAATTAATTATTTTATCTATAGTCGATGTGAGATTTGAGTTTTTCTCAATACACCCCTCAAGTTTAACATTATTGAGTTTGATAATGATGAGTAATCTGATACTAACTTAGAATAATAAGTTATAAGTCTAACTCAAACCTACAAAATAAACTTGCAAGGTGAGAGTTATCATCTACTTGTATATTTTTTAATTATCTTATTTCTAGTCGATGTGAGACTTAAGTTTTTTCCAATATCAAAATGTAATTAAACATTTTTTTTTAAAATATACTAAAAAATACACTAAAAATGTTTTGTTTTAGAGTTAGTCAAAAGCCGACTCTAAATAATAAAAACTGACATAATATTGTCGGTCATTCGTCGTCTTTTGGCTAACGCTAAATAAGTCGACATAATTTTTTTTGTGTCAGCTAAGCTGTCGGTAACAATTTTATTTATTTTAATTTTTTATTGTCGATTAAGCCGACACTATGTCGACACAAAATTTATTTTATTTTTTTTCTTCATCTTCTTTTTCTAATTTATCATTTATTTGTTTGTAATTTTTGCATTTTCGAGACTCGGTCCTAGAACCTTAACGTGTTAAGGGAACTTGATAACCAACTACACCATCATACATTATGCGCATATAAGATTCAAAAAATCATTTTTATCTCTCTGAAAGCACGTATAGTGTTGATGAAACTGACGTTATATTTAAAGAATAGTGTCAGCTTTGTTGACACTAAATTTAAATTGAGTTTAGTGTCGAAAAAGCCGATGCTATTATAGCGTCGGCTTTGTCGTTACTAACTTAATTTAAGTTTAGTGTCGGAAAAGCCGACGCTATTCTTTAAATAGACTTTTAGTGACAATAAAAATTGCTACAAAATCTTTTACCGACATTTTCACATTAGTCATTGTATGCAGTGTCGCTAAAGCATTTAGCGGCAATTATTCTAAATGCTGGTAAAAACCCTTATAATGGTCGTCTTCTACTTATATATTTGTAAGATGAGTATAAGTACTCTTTGATTACTTTATCTTTAGTCGATGTGAGACTTGTAAGAAGATGGTTGTCTTCTACTTATATATTCTTCTTAATTTTCTTATTTTTTTAATTACCTTATTTCTAGTCGATGTGAGACTTGTAAAATGAAGGTTGTCTTCTACTTATATATATATTTTAAATTTTCTTAATTTTTTAATTATCTTATCAATAGTCGGTCCCCTCAAGTTTAAGGACTATTAAGCTTGATAATGGTGAGTAATCTCATAGCAACTTAGAATATTAAGTTTTAGGAATAATTCAACCCTACATAACAAACTTGTAAGGTCACTAGTAGAAAATATGGAATTTACGTCATTGTATTCTCTTTGGACAAAGAAAAATCCGACGTAAAAAAAATGCAGTGACATTTTTGAAATTATAATCAAGTTTTTTACGTCGGACCTCGTGATGTCTAACGTAAAAAACTTACTACACACTTAGGTATATGTTATCAATTTGGTGCGTCCGTCCAAAAAAACCCTAAGTTTAGCGAGACCCTCTCTTTGGCACCGATCTCCGCCTCAAGCACACCCTTCTCCTCCTCCACTCCAAACCCTTCGACACCCTGAAACCCCTCGTGGCCACCCTCCGCCTCCCCCTCAAAGACCTCCACGACCTCCACGACTCCTCTTGCCTCCGCAAGTTCCCCCTCTCTCGCCCCTCCGGCCGTCCCCACGACAAGATGCACCTCAAACTCACTGTTGGCACTGTTGCTGGAGCCCTCGACGGCCTCGCTCTCGAAGAGGGACCCAAATACGAAGAGGATAGAATCACCAAGAGGGTCGAGAACGACGTTGCTCGCGATGATTTTAGCAACCGAGTAGATACTGAGTTTGAGGTTTGTAATTCTAAGGCTGTTTCGTGTGCGTAGAGGGCCAGGAGGACAGCTTCGAAGCCAACCTGAGGCTTTCGACGTGGGAAAGGTAAACGTCGCCGATGACAGGGAGGATGGAAACCATTTTACGCTAGACATGGACGAAAATTTTACGTCTCCCGCATTTACGTCGGACTTATTTTCGACGTTAAAACCCCAAAATAACCGACGTAAAATACCTCTTTTACACTAGTGGGTGAGAGTTATTATCCATTTATATACTTTTTAATTATCTTATTTTTAGTCAATGTGAGACTAAAGTTTTTCTTAATAAATAATTGTCGTTAATAGTAAATTTTGGTGTGATATAAATACATTTTTAGTTACCATTATCTATTAGTCATTAATATTTTTATTAAATAATAAAATAAAGGTAATTAATTTATTATCGTTAAATAATTGTCGGTAAAAATAAATTTTGTTGTAGTGAAAAATTATATATATTATTAGTATATTTATATAAACTATTAATTTAATAAATATAATATAATATATATTAACATGTATTTACAAAAATAAATTTATTAGAGTGAATTTAAGTTTTTTTTATTCATAAAGATTATATATATTATGATTTCACTCTAACAACTTTGCTTTTAAAACCAAAAATTAGTATAATTTTTTCAGTTCGTTATTTTTGTATCATTTTGTTAAATAATAACATTTATAATACTTTATTATTTTTTAAAGTATCTTACTTCAATATTTAATTTTTTGACAAAATTAATATTTTATTTTCAGTTTTAAAAAAACTTTATTACCGTTGGCAACCAATTCGTTACCGGTCGGTAAATAGAATTAAAGGACAATAATCACTTAATAAAACGAAGTCTTTCGATTTTTTCTTCTCTCTAAAATATTTGAAAATGTATATTTTGTCGTGACTAATAGACTGACCTCCCTAAAAAACGTCACTAGTGGTGCTTGACTCCCTGGAGCACCTCAAAACCCTAAATCCTAGTTCCATTATTGACAACATAAATCCAAGTTGAACTGTCAAATTCCCCCACAAACACAACTAAGCAAGCACCTTAAGGACCACCGATCAATGATGGCAATCAATAATATCAACAACATTGCTAATTGATGTTAAAGATCAATGGATCGCCATATATACAGCCTTTATCTGCCCGAAATAGTAGCCAACAATTACGGAATGGAACTGTCAAATTCTGAGTTACACTATTAACCAAATGCCAGGTTATAATAAATAGTTAATGACATGTTTGTTTGCTTTAGTTATGTACCAAGTACATTTATTTTTATTAAGAAAAATGGTTGATAGATGATAACGTTCAAATTACTATAGGATAAAAAGTCAATAATATAAAATAAATAAATAAAAAATTTTACATCAGTATTTTTATTTAATTAGTTGTTAGTTAGAATTTAATAGTGTTTAATTTAATTTTAAAAAATTATAATTTGTTGAACTACCAAGAAAAACCCATCAATGTTATTTCACCTTTGACACCTAAGAATCTTCATAAGTATATATGTTCATTAAAATAGAATTTTAATAACCATTATAAATGTCAAATTCAAATTACGAGAAACATGAGTCCTATTATATATTAATTATATTTTCCAACCAACGATAATATAGTATGACGTTTAATATTTATGTGATGATTTATTTAGAATAAATTATGTTACTTTTTCCTAAGAGATAAAAGTAATTAATATACTATCTTTTGCCTTATGTTAAAATATATAATTTATTCTATTTAATTTAATATCATTAATTCTCTCTTTAAAGATATAAGTATTACATTATTCATTATAATATCAAATAAACTATACTTTTATCTCCTTATATTATTACTCTCCTATTATGTTACCTTAATATCGATAAATAATTATTATTATAAACTTTTTAAAAACACTTTTAGTTTAATTATTTTTAAAAATATTTTTTATTTAAAATACTTTTAGTTCGTTATCATTCACCTTGATTAAAAATTGTAACATATATAATTTAATTTAAATTAATTATTAAACTAATAAATAAAATAAATAAACTATAAAATAAATTATATAAATATACTTTTACAAACACGTCAATATATATAATATAAATTAACTTATATATATATAAGTATTATATTTTGTTGAATTATAAATTTTTAATATAAATATATTATTTAAAAAATCATATATTTAAAATACGTATTTTATCATTACATTAATTAAATGTAATAAATAATATTTTATTATAAAGTACTAATTTATTCAGATACTATTAAAATATTATATTGATAACATTAGGGGTGTGCAAAAAATCCAAATTGATCCGAACCGATCCATAACTGATCCGATCCATATTGAAAAATCCGATCCATTTTGAAAAAAAATCCGAACCGAACCACTTTATAAAACCGGTTTAGTTATCCGATCCATTTTACAAAGTAGATCGGTTCAGTTCGGTTTGGTTTTTTAAAAAAACCGATCCATATATGAGTAAAAAGTGGATAATTGCACCGCACCGAACCGATCCAATTTTAAAAATCCGATCCATATTTTAAGAAAACCAAACCGATCCACTTTATAAAAAGTGGATCGGTTAACCGATCCACTTTTATAAAACGGTTCGGTTCGGTTTGGATCGGTTTTTTGAAAAAACCGATCCATGAACACCCCTAGATAACATCAATTAAATAATATCTTAATATTTATATCTTATCTTTAATATATTTTTGGTAACGGAACTCTATAAAAAAATATAAATGGATATAATATCATATATTATAATTTATAAAAGGATGAGACTGTAATTTTTATCCTATGAAAAAATAATAGTATAATAGTCATACATATCAACAGAAAATAAAGTAATTTACTCATTTATTTATTTGGTAAAGAATAAAGCCATATCTTCTTTACTAATTCTTTTATTACCTTACGAAAATGTATAGTTATAGTTTCATTTGTATATATACCCAACACGGACTAATCTGTCGAAACCATAAATTTTCCGAATTAGTTTGGATGGGACCAAACTGGAGTGATAACGTAGAACATGACACATATGCATACATTAACGCGTTAGATGTGATGATTGATAGGAACCGAACAAGAAATGCAAGGAAATATTATAGAAGCCTTCACTTTTGAAGAATTTCTGAGTAGTTTACTTCACTATATATCTCACTCAGTATAATATATATCATTGTAGAGTGTTGACTAAAACACTTAGTTGACTCTCCTGCTCAAGGTCCCACTCCTAGCAATTAGTAGGATGATTCATGCAAACAACTCTCGTCCCATTGACTGCTCAAGTGACGCGTATCGATGTAAAGTGAAATATAAAATATGAGAAATAAGGAGTATATTAAGATAATTAGGATATAAAGTATAATAAGATTTTTAAAAATTTCAAAAATTATTTGATATTTTATTTTATTAATTTGAATTAATGTATAAAATAATTTTATGATTATCCGTCAATTTAAATTAATAAAATAAAGTATTAAATAACTTTTAAATTTTTTAAAAACTTGCAGATTTGATTTATGCATTAAGAATTTTAAATTGAACGGTTAGATCGTTGAAATTTGATGTAGAACATGAATTATTGAACCGAGTAAGTCTAGGTAAACTTATTCCAAGAATAAAAGGATCCCTCCTCTATAACTTATATTGAATAACTTTTGAACAAGTATTAAGTATTAATAGTCTTTAACACACTTCTCTAAACATTTTTATAAATTGAAATTTATTGAAAACTATAAAATCAATATAAAGTCATTAAATAAAATGTAAGGTTTACTAAATTTTATGAATTTGAGATAAATTTAACTTACGTTGAATTAGTAGTTTGTTAGTATAATTAAAAAATAGTTGGTTACTAAGATTTAAATAAAAGAAGTTCAAGTAGATGGAAGATTAACTCGAAATTGAATCATGTGAATGAGTAGAGTTATTGAGTTCACCTGGAAACTACGAGGAAGTTCAGCAAAGCCCAACAACTAACAAGCCTAGGGTAACACCATGGTTGAATAATTGTAGGAAAATATAGCGAAAATGCATAGTAATAGTATTAGACTATTAATAGTACTATTTTAAAACTCGATTACTGACAGGACAGGACTTGAAGAAATGATTTTAGTGTGTTAACGCGTTGAAATCATCATGTTGGAATGGACTCATTAAGTCATAAGAACTGAAGATATATAGAAATCCACAAATCAAAGCAGTCAGTCATAAGCAATTCATTATCAATTAATGAGATTCTCTCTCTCTCTCTCTATTTTATATCTTTTTTTTTTTTTTTCTTTCTATTTTAAGTTAGTAATTTCCAAGTAACTGCATAGACGACTTTTGCTGCAAACTCTCTTGATTGTTGACACACACTACACCATTTTATAAGTCGTCACTCGCCACTAGTTACAATGGAAAATAAACAATGATTTGTAATGACCCTATTTAGTTTTACTCCAAACAAATACTTGGTATGAATTTGATGATTTAGAATCCTAAATTTCGATAACTTAAATAATTCGGTAATTATATTTTTTAACTAAAAATTAAAAACACTAAAAATCAGAGTTTGATTATTGTCTTAAACATTAAGATATTGTTAGACTACTTTTCCATTTTAAGTATTGAAATTTCATAGATTATATAGCAGTTTTTTTTAATTGATTTCCATTTTTTTTATCATTCATTTTCTAGATAAAAATATAACTTTTTTCTGTACAAAATATTGAAACACGAAATACCTTACAAATAAAATAATATTAAATTTATTACAACATATATTTTTTATTACAACAATGATAAAAATATAGTAACGATAACAACAACATTGAAATCAATGACAATAATAATGACAATGATAATAATAAAAATATTAATATAGATAATAATAATAATGGTAACGTTGACAATAAAAGTAGTGGTACTGATAGGGATCATGAGAGTCAGGTGGGGTTGGTGGTGCACCTACAATGATGACTATGGTAAATGTTTTTGTCATTAAAGTATTTTGAATTTGAAAAAAAAGTTATTTTATAATTTATTAAGTAATAAAAAATAAAATTTTGTCATATTTTTCTTCATCTACTTTGTTCCATTTCATGGTCATTTTATAAGAGTCTTTGTATAAATTTTTCTGAAAACATTTTTAGAAGAAAAAATATTTAGGAAAAATAAAATAAACTACCCCATAAACAAAAGCTAACTTATACAAAAGAAAAATAATTTTTAGAGAAGCTAGTTACAAATTAGTTTATATATAAGTTAATTTTAATTTATGAATTATTATTTTTTGTTTTTTTTATAATATACTTATAAAAAAAATTTCCAAACATATCTTAAGTCAAATGTAAACCAATTACATTTTCTATTTAATGACTTTCTACTAGTTATATCGTATATGATGTTTGATTCTTTTTCTTTCAAATAGTTATGTTGTATATCACTTTTTTTTTCAAATCATTTTTTCTTAAAATATGACATTATGCATAACTGCATAAGCAGACAAGCGTGTGGTTCAGCAGTAGGGGTTGATCCACGCTTAAGCAAGGTCAGGGGTTCGAATCTTGCCTTGTGTATGCAGCCGTGTTAAATCTTGAGACCAGCTATCCCACCCTTTGAGGTGCCTCCAACGTAGCGAGGAGATTAGTTACTGCTGTCGGCAGTGGATACTCCAGGGACGAACAAAAAAAAAATAAACTTTTTACACTAAATATTAATAGAATCTTACTTCCTATAAATCTCATTATAAAGCTCTTTATTTTAAATAATAAGTACTCCAAGAAATCACCGACCATGTAATGAATACTATCCAGCGTAATACGCAATCAACTTATATCAAATGTCATTTGACAATATAACCAAATCAATAAACAAAATGTGTCTTATATTATAAGATAGCCAATATAATAAGTTATCAACTTTATGTTTGACGGTGGATGGGAATTGAGAAAGGTCAAAAAAGAAAAAGTAAAATCCTAGAAAAGAAAAATAAAGAGGGTGAGATTGGTAATTGAACTATTGAAGCATAACTGCATAAGCAGAATATAGTGACTTACGAGTATCCCATGTGTGCTTTTAAGCTGTCAATTTTTATTTTTGATAGTATATAAATTAAAATTCAAAATATATCAATAGATTGAATTTTTAACATTTAATTTTAATACCTAACCTGAAGAACTAGTTTAATTGAGTTGAGATAAATTTTAATACATATGAAAAGTCCTCTCCACCAACGAAAAATCTTGCTTGTCCCCCATTCGGCTGTTTCACACACCCTACCCCCCAAACAGATCCCTAATATGGGCTTAAAGCTGAGACACGAGCACACGCTTGTATGGACTAATCGTAAATTTTCAACGTACCCTTAATTGGCTTATAATCTAAACAGAGGAATTGGTATTTCACCACAAAGATGGGTACATGTACATCTGCGTGTACAAGAGCATTTGTTCGTGCATAAGAATATAATGTTATACATTACCGTTATTCACACTCTATGAACAATAGGCAAACCAAGGAAGTCAAACGTCACGTGTTCTCCACGAATCAAAATTATGACAAATATCTTACTATAACGAGAATACAAACTAACAAAAAAGCAATTACTGAAGAGCTTTACAGAGGTTTGAACATACATTTCTTTTCCCATGGTTGTAGTAAGTTTCACTATTTGGTTCCCATTTTACGGGTAACAAACCCTAATGACTAGCAGGATGTCAGAACTTTGTGGAATTTGTTATTACCAATCATCATCAAGGTTGGCTTGGTGGAAACATAAAACAGTACATATAAATATGAAGAACGATACAAGCTCGATGAGCATTGCGCCTGTCTCAATCATATGAGCGTGCTTGAGGATTATAGGAATGGCTATGCTCCCAACGGCTGATGCTCCAGTCAAAAATTTTGCAGCATCTATCCAACTGCAACATAATATCAGGTATACAAATAATCTTTAAATAAATTTTACTGCTGAAAACAAATAATCCTTAAATAAAATTGTCCCTGTATTCACATTGAATTGAAAAGGGATTATATAAACAAGTGCAACACCCATCGCATACAAGTATACGACAGAATAGCAGTAACCCAAAAGCCAATCGCATGAAAATTGTTTCTACATAAGATTAGAGAACATTTCTGAGCAACAAATGGCAACAAATACTTACCCCCCACCATCACGGCTAATTAGAAATTGAGTGGATCCTCCTCCAAAGAATAAGCAAGGCATAGGAACCAGCACATACATCAGAGCTGCAGGTGCAATGTTCTGGCCATTAAATTTTTTTAACAAATGTACAAACATACCAATTTAAAAGACTCTAACTTACCTGATAACATGGGCCACCAATTGTTATATATTGCACACGCCTGCCATGGCAAATAGGAAGCAAATGGAATACTCTTAAACACTTGTAAATGTGCAATCAACAGATTAGATAAATTATATGAGCCAATATAGCACCCACATTCAATTACAACTAGATCACGTATCAACCATAGCATCATAAAAAATATTTATTTGAATACAGCATTTTTTTTGTTGTTGTTTGAACTAAATTTGGCTCATACAATCCCATCGCATCCACTCCCAATGGTTTGAGTTAGAGTGTATTTAGCTAGTCATTTCAACTACCTTATAGCTTATTTAAATAGATTATAAGTTTGTTTAACTACAGTAGAGGCTTTTGGTAATTGAGCTTATGTCACTAATTACAACATTTCTTTTCATGTTACTTGGTGTTTGAGTTTATAACTTCTTTTTTCTGTTTTTATCCTAATATTTTAATAAAACTCTCATTTACTGCCTCCTTTAATATTACACTATTTATTTTATTTTTCAATAAAATAATTGAGCTTTAAATAAACAATGAGTTAAACATTAACTAAAAAACCTAAAATTATAATTATGTGAAAATATACTTTTGTCTTCAAAATAAAAAATTAAATTTATATAAAAAGATCATATAAACATTTTTTATACTACTATCATTTTACATATATCAGCTAATTCAAAAATTAATTTCACCAAACACTTCTAATTTAATAAAATAACTTCATAACTTTTAGCCTTCAACTAAAACTCAACTTTTCAACTTTATTTTAACCAAAGACATCCTTAAAACCTCCAAGTTTGGGTCCTCGGAACTTCAAAATAAAATACAATAGTGTTTTCTAAAACCTATCTTGCTAAATTATGGAGAGGCAAAAACACGTTCTACCCTTCCACGAAAATTTGATAATTATAAAATATTAAAATCCAAGATGTAAAGACTAGATAACCCACCAGCAAATTTATTACAATTTAAAAAGTTTCCCATATGTGATCATAGTCTCACAAGACTCAAATAGAGTTCCATTTTGTACCTCTCATCAAAAATCCAAACAAAAGAAAAACTCCTCCTTTCACTTCCCATTCCTTCCTTCCCAACCTTTTCCTTTATGAACCATTCCTTTATAAATTTTAATTGCAAACAAATTAAAATTCAAGATTTTTTTCTGACATCTTTGAGGTTATAACAAAATTAGATTCTGAATAAAACTATTATTCATAACTGTAAATTCAATACGGCTAATTTGGCAGGTTTGAAAGCTCTCCTGCAGAGTTAAACATCCTGGTTTAAGGCTGACCTGAAATGTTTTTACTGTTTGATGTCAATAATACATAGATTTTTCACCCAAGAACAACAGGTATATGAATGGTTGATGTGGTCAGAAATGTTATATGTTACCTCGGATGGCACTTTTCAGAATGCAGTTACAAATATATTTTGATTTATTTTGTAAACAATCAAAATTAAACTTAGAATACTCAAAAAACCAAATATTCTTCAAAAATGGTCAAACTAAAGTTGGAGGAAACATATTTGTGAGGGGAAAAAAAAAAGAGAGAGATTACTCATTTCATTAAAAGCATACCAGAATCTGTAGCAAAATGCTAGCCGAAAACATAAAAGCCAACCCAGCAAGGCTGCAAGTCCAGGAAAAAGAAAGTTAAACGTTGATTTACTTTATTTTGCAATATAATCAACCATGATACAAAATTAAAGAGAATTTAGTTTTACACTTACACTGTGAAGACAAGATCAGTCCCACAACCCCGATTTGTAACATCAGATAAAGGACAGAGTCAGTAACATAATTAAAGTATATACACTGATGAATTAAAACAAAAAATTTAAAGAAAAAAAAAAAAAAAGAAGCAAAAGGCAAGTAAACATAAATCCTCATTTGGAAAAGTGCAGCATGAATTCGGCCACATCCCACAGCAGTTTAATCTCCAAAAGTACAAATGAAATGATAATAAATAGAACACGAGAAGGATTTAACATCTATAACTGTTAATTAAAAGATTAACTATTGAGAATTAACAACTTCACAGTCTGTTACATGTGTATGTATATCTATCAGTCTCTCAACTCTTGATCAGCGGTTATAACTGCAAATTATAAACTTATCCCCTAAAATGCACTCCAAATTCCCTTGGGGTGATGACGTCACACATATGTAGGTGAATAATTTGGAGCTCTAATCTCAGCATCCAACCTACACTGCAACATGTGTTTTACATTCTTTCCTCTTTGGACTTGAACTGAATAGTCAATATTGCAAAGGAAATTTCATCTTTGGGTTTAGAATCATCACCCTAGTGTTTTTGACATAAGCATCCTAAATTCCCAATTTCATTACAGCCCTGGACCCTTATGTGAAATTGTACGTTCCTGGATCAATTTCTTCAATCTTCAGTTCTCTATGCGAAGCGACCTAACAGAAAGGCCAGTCCATGTTTGGATACCCTAATTTCATTAATCTTAGGAAAACCCAATGAATTGCTAAGGGAATTTACTACGCATAACCCTAATAGAGAAAGCTGTTGGGAAGCTAAAGTAATTGGTACCTAATTAGAGTAATAAAGAGAATTGCACAGAGGAAAAGGGGTAGTGTGAGTAAGAAGTAGCAGGTACCGTGTACTGTCATCGCCATGCTTGATGTCTCTCTCGTTCTCCCGATTGCAAACAAAGATTATCTCAGACGGAAAAAAGTGCAGAGCTGGGAGTTGCTCCCAATTTTGACCCACCCTTTCTTTCTCGCCTTATTTTATCAATGTTTTTGGACTTCCACAAATTTCGTTATAAAACAATATTACGAAAGTAAATTATAATTATCGCATCATCCAACGTAAATTACACTTGTAGTCTTTTATTAATTCTTTTTTAACTCTATTCCGTTATTTATCTTTTAAAACACTCATTCATTTTTATAAAGTGATTTAAAATATTTTTTTCTGCAATATATCTAACATCAACAAATTTTGAGTTAATCGTTAATTGCATTGTTAATATAGTTTTTGACACAATGAATAAAAATTAAACCTATTTAAAAATATAAATGACTAAATTAAGTTTAAATACCAGTAAAAAAAGTTGAATTTAAATATAATAAAATTTGTATCATTCCAAATACAAATAGTTAAAATGTACAATTTTTTTTAGACTAATTTGAACTATAAAGATAGTCTCAATAAAGATTGAACCTAGATCTTCGTATTTCTAACTACCCAACACTATATTCTCGTGATTTTAGTAAATAGAATTTTATCTTTATAATGTAGTTGTGCTATTTAAAATTTAAAGTTTATAAATTATTATGTAAATGTATATTTCCTTTTTTAGTGATAATGTGTTCAAAGTTTACAAGTTTTGATGGAATACATTTTATATTATTTTTAGATAGTGATTTAATGAAATTGTGTTAATACCGAGTTTTCTTCTTGTTTTTTTGACGTTTTAAATTAGTTTAATTTCATCATTTACGTTTTTAAATAAGTTCAATCTCACTCTTCCTGTTTTCAATAAAGATTGATTTAATCCTTTATCATGTCTATATCTATAAATAAAGATAATATTTTTATTTGTAACGGATTTCACTTTTTTAATAATTATTTTATCATTTAATGATGAGAAATAATGAATATTTCTATTGAATATGAAAGTTCCAAAATGAAGACAGTAGTAATATAAGCATAGGAAAAAAGAAAAGAAGAGAAAAGTTAAACTTTGAGTAACTGCAAGTTGTTGAAGAAAGCAAGGGCAATCCAGTCCATCTGCAGCGGGGACCAACGCACGTGGTTGATTTCAGCAGATGAAGCGTACCACATGACAGGCTCCACATCGGAACCATTCCCTGATGGAAACCCCGAGTCCATGACTTCCCAAATGAAAGCCCTGGCATCATCACTAACAGAGCACAAGTGGCGTCCAAAATCAGGGGACCATGATATCGCATTCACACACGTCCTATGTTTACTCAACTCCATATACGGCGTTGTTGGTAGCCTAATATCCAATATCACCACCTTATTGCTGTCCAACCCAACCGTTCCCATGAACCTTGGATCATTCTTGTTCCACTCCAAACGCAACAAAGGACAATCCTGCACCGGATTCTCATAAATTATCGTCGATTTCTCCTTGTCCCTCAAATCAAACACCCTCACTGAACCATCCCCAGAAACCGACGCAAAAACATTAAACCCGCCCCATGAGATGTCATACACTTCCTTGTCATGTGCCACCAACTGCGCCTTCATTGCTTCCCTTTCGATGTCCCAAATCGTGCACGTCGTGTCCACGCTCGAAGTGGCCACCAGACGCGTGTCAAATACAGCCCAATCGAACGAGGTTATAGCCGAGTTATCGCTAACTTTGTTACCAATCAGTGGGGACTTTAGTTGAATGTGGTCTTCGTGGATTTCCCATAGTCTTAGGTTGTCGCCTGAAGTGGCGATGAGGTCGAGATTCGTGTCGTCCTCCGAGGGGAAGAACATGATGTTCGTTGGCGCGTAAGGGTGGTCGAGGACTAAACGAGGGTCGGTGGTGAAGTTGAACGTGTCGTAGTTGAAGTGGACCAGTTCCACTTTGTTGGTGTATTCTTCCAAGTAACTACCGATGGCGAAACGAGGGTTTTTGTCGCGCCGCATTGACCATGCTAGAGAGGAAATTGGCCACTGAGCAACGTAGGTGTGGACTCCTTGTTTTACCTCTGTGTGGCTCTGCATGCTGAAGTTAACTTCAATGGAGTCCATAGGAAAGTCAAGATTCAAGAAGCCTCTGCATGGAAGATTCCCATGTGTAAGTACGTACAAACTCTATTTAATTAATATATTAGTTAGATATCTTTTTATGTTCTTTTTCTATATTATATTTATTAGTTTGAGAAAAGAAAGAGGGTGAAAATATATATGATTGTGTAGAGAAGATGAAGGAGAAGAGACAGAGACATGAAAACAAAGAGTAGTTGTGAATAAGCTTATCTTAAAAAAGAGAAGTTGGAAAAGGGGCTTACATTGCGCAGATTCCAAAGTCTGGGGTGTTAGCTAGCTTGGTGCAGTGTGGAGTACAATGACAATGGCAAAGGAAATAAATATGAAGGCGCAGCGCAAGCAGAGAAAGGGACGGGATTGGGAAGGGAAGGTGAAGCTAATGGTCAATCGTTTTTGCTCGATAGTTCGGTCAGCTTTTATAGGCTATTTGTTCCATAATTCCATCACGTTTCTAAAATCAAAATGTCCACTCCGAGTACTACTATTGTCACAACTCTCCAACCATGACATCATATGTACTACTCCAGTCAACAATATCTAACACCAACCATTGCAACTCCCACATTATTTTTATGCTTTCTTTGCTTCACAGTTCACAGACTTGAAAAAGGAAATTAATAAACATAAATATGATTTTGTATTCTTCTCATACAATGTCATCACCTTTTATTTTATTTATCACTTATGTATTGGGTTTCCCTTAGATATTTTAATCAGAAATTCTACAGTACCACTATAATTTTGTGGTACTGAAACAGTCTTTTTTTATTTTATTTTATTGTAATTACTTCTTTTTTTATTTAATATTTTTAATAATTTATTTGTATAAAATTTTCTATATTTTTATACTATTTTTATATTTTTTAATTTATATCTAGTGTAACATCTATTATAATTAAAAATTTTAATATTAATATTTTGTTAATATGTTTTAGTTTTTCTTTGGTGATAATTTTTTTAAATTTATAGTATAAATTAGTTTTTCAGTTATTTTATTTGTTTTTTTTATAATATTATTATAATTTTTTGTTTTTAATTTTTTAATTTTGTCACATATAAACAAAATTTGTTATGAAAATTGATCTTTTGATTTTTTTTTAATTAGTCTTTTTGATTGATTCATCTTATACAAATTTTTAATCTAGAATTTATGTTATTTTAAATTTATTTTTTAAAATTTATTTGTTCACATAATTTAATATACCAAAACTCTTTAATTTTTATGGGTACTATAACAGCTCCCTATTTTAATAACTTATTCTACAAATCTACAAAGCACAAAAATTAGCACATATTTATACTACTTGTTTATGTTGTTTTTTTTTTTAGCTAAAACAAATCATTTTGATAACATAATTTTTCAATGCATACTATTATAAAAAAAATACACAATAGTTTTATTATTCATTACTAAAAATTAATTTTATTTATAATTATATTCTCATAATTATTAAAAAGAATTGCAAATATAAATTATAATGATACATAATATATATTATTAAATTTTATTCAAAATTAATATTAAAATTATATAAGAGTAAATTTATACTTACATATATTATATTTATAGCGACGTTTTTTTATTTTTTATATATGTAATATCTATTGTAATATAATTTATATTATTTAATTAAAAATCAATAAAACACTTATAATACTATGTTTAAATTTTATCTTAACTGTGGCGATATTTATTTATTTTAAAAGTATGGAAGTCAAAGATAATAATGTGTTTATCTTTAATCAAAATTAAAAGTTTTCAAAGAAAAATATTTTTATTATCTTACCTTATACATTTCTTTTTAAGTACTGCACATAAGATAAATGGACTTCGATGCTAAGTCATTGTGTGAAAATAAAAATTAAGAATGCAAGGAGACCCCTTTTTCACTTTCCAATTTCCATGTTTAAAATATACATCAAACATTTTCAAAATCAAAAGTCAAAACTGTAACTCTCTTCTAACTTTCAACGTATCAGGTGTCTCTTTTATTTAGTTGAACCAGCATTTCTATTTAAACGGGCACAAGTTTCAATCTTTTTGGAAGCCCCCAATAATTGGAACTTTGTTGTTGTTCTCTTACCAAACTTTTTTCTTCTTCTTTTGGTATAAATCACTTATATTATTATGAGGTAATCATCTATATATTATGAATGAAAAAAAATTTTACACTGAGAATCAATTATATTTTTTAATTATACTATATTATTATAAATACATTTATTTTTAACAGTGACATAACATAACTAAAAAATATAATTAGTTATTAGTATAAAAAATTTTTACAATAATAATTAACTCTATTATTATTTATATATGAAATAATTTTATTTGCATATAGATTATTATAGACAATAAAATCTTACTGACACGAATACTAAAATACAAAATTACTAACTAAGTTAAAATAATTTTGTACTAATTCATCTTGTATTTGTTATTAGTTACTATTAAACTCTTAATTTATAGTTAAGCGTAAATAAACTTATTACGATGATTTTGAAATAATTAATACTAGAATAATTACTTTTCAATAAAGTGATATAATTATAGAATATTTAATAGTATATTTAAATCAATTCGTTATGTTATATTTTAAAATATAATTACTTTTAATTTATAAATAAAACATTTTTTAAAGTTTAATAAGTTTTATAATAAATTACATTTAACAGAGAGAATAATGTTAATAATGTATTTTAATATGTTCTCCCATTACTTATTATTTCATGAAACTCTTGTAGGTTACATGTATTAAATAAATAGATTCACGTAAATTTCATTTAATAATACAAAATATGTGGAAAATTTGTATCAAATATTCTTTTAACAGAATAATTATAAAAAGTACTTTCGTAAAATTAAATTAATTTCACACGCCTTAAATTTAATTTTACAAACTAATAAAAACTAATCAAGCACTTTACTATGTTCCCAGCAATATATATATATGCAATTGGATTTATTTTGTCAGAAACGTGATTTTGCCGAAATATAATCAGGCTATTTTAAAGTGAGAATAAACCAGTGCATACAGGAAAACAGTGACACGGTGTATTGAACATATAAACATATTGTACAATTAATATTTATGACAGTTGTCGTAAGTTTCTAAAAAAAATGTGAAATATTTATATTTTTTTTAAATCAATATCCAATAAATATAATTTATTTGAGTGATACAAATATGGACCTTTTAAGAAAAATGTGAAAAACATTTTTTTATCATTGTGATAATATTAATTTATTCTATAAAAAAAAACTTAATTTACTTCTTTCATTTTTTTTTATAAGATATGCATCTAATAATTCAATTAATTATTATTCAGATAATTAATTTTTATATTTTTGTGTATGTTATTCGTCAAATTTGTAACGACCTATCATGATTAATACACTATACAAAATTATTATTGATAGTAAAAATTATATTACTATAATATACATTATTAAAAAAGGAAATGTGTCATACATATATAGAACATGAATATAAAAGTAAAACACATGTACTAATATAGATAAGTTATACGTATATATACAAAAATCTAAAAATAACTTTATGCCCTAGTATTAGTCAAACATAGTTATATACAAGTTACCTGAAGTGGTACCAACATCAACAAAGAGACACACCACTTGCTAGCACAACAATTCCTTAAGTTTAGCCCTAAATTTCTTTCATATAACGTATAATTATCCCAGTCCAAATCAACATAAAAGCAAAATGGTAAGTTAAAGTTTGAAAACATGTAAACAAAAAAAAAACAATTTATACAATACAACATAAATCACGCATACTTGAAAACTAAACACCAAGTCATCAAGCATCTCATACAATCATGCCAACCAGACATTCATACCATGCATATGAACACACCTCAATATAATCATCACATGCATACACATCGACTAATGCGTCGTCACGCATTCACCTACGGACACATCTTAACAACATAAGTAATTTAAGTGACTTTATCCTACCAAATCAACTCAATCATTTTCACACTCAATGTGTCAGCTCGATCACAACAAAATGAAATATCAATCCTTCCTCTAGTTTCTTGAGTTTTGTCACTTACATTGGGAAAGTCCAATTCTATAATTGAGAAAAGTACAGTTAGGTACAAGTTTACCACAATCTTTACATACATAATTGAGACACTTGGGAAATTCACCCATTGATTATCATTAAAAAAAATCATGCAATCTTTCTAGATACTTGGTTAAGAGTTGTAGCTCTTAACCCCCTACCTTATTTAATCATTAACTAAGGACCTGTAAGAGTTTTAACACGCCTCAAAACCATCTCCAAAAGGCACACCTACTCATGAAGTATTTTGCATCAATGGCCTACTCAAGCATCACCCCAAGATTCTCTATGTGGAATCTTTAGTTTGCAAAACATTATCTCTCCTTGAGTTTTAAGTTAGCCAACATGTCTTAATGTCCAAAGCATTATCGACATCCATACTTAAATATTCATCATTTATATACATTACCCTATGTCAATACACACAAAGATCAAATCACATTAATTAGGTATAACATGCCAATGATTAACACCTCAACAAAGAATATCATGTTAATGCTTATTCAACACTTCAATTATGCAATTTACAGCATATCAATCATACACAACATATCAATGCTCATCACCATTTCAATTACATAAGTAAACATGTCAATGCTTATTATCATCATTCTATATACAACATGTAGTATATTGAACAACCCTATCTATGTTCACCAAATTCACTCGTTTATATAATATGTGCAAACATACAACTTATTAAAATTAACTATTGTACAAGAATAACTTGAGTAGGTTTCACATAAAAATCTATCTACTTTGTTGGATTTAATTGCTATGTGATATCCTTTTAAAAAATTTGAACTACTCAGTTGGTTATTTATGCATAAAGTTAATTATTTTGATCAAGGTGTTTCTTATATATAATTATTGTATACATGAAGTAGAAGGTGTCGTAGATTTATTGAGGATTTTTTTTTATAAAAAGATAATATATTTATTATTATTATTTGTAAAAACTTTTAAATAGTTTATAGATGGGGAGCATGATTTTTTCTTTTTGAGAACTCCCTAAGTAGTTGTATTTAGTTATTACGTGAAACAATTATTATCTTAAGGGATTCAAAGATACTAGTAGTATTTTTTTTTTTAAGGAATAGGGATTTAGAATTTAGCAATAACAAGGTGAAATTTAGAGCATAGTTTTGTTGAAAGGCAAAAGCTACCGGTCATCGAGGAAGTAGTTCAATAATTTAACATTTAAAGGGAAATCATGCATATTGGAGCACTTTATCTCTTCGAGGTCTTTTTAATGAAAAAATAGATGCACCGACTATGTAAGACAATTTTAAACAGTTATTTAATTGTAAATTATCATTTATAGTCAAGTGTTAAGTTTTTTAATATAAAATATAATTAAAAAAAACGTACTAAGAGTGATATTTTATTAACTAATAGTTAGAGTAGTTAAATGAGTTAAGTTGACTTGATTTAAAACAAATCTATGATTTCATGTCCTATAATATTTTTTTATATGTTAAACAAAAGGTTAAGTAAATATTTTACGTCCCATCAATTAATGTTTATAGTAAAGAATGACAATAGGGAAGGTAGATGTAAGTTTAAATATTTATATTCTTATTTTTATCTTCGTATTTATATTTATTTTTGTCTTTATATTTAATGAGTATGGAATTTGTGTTTCACATTTGTTCCTGTTGGATATTGGGTATATTCATGCCTGTTTCGTATCCACTCACAAATTAATTATTTTTTTGCAAAAAATATATAATGTACAAATTTCAACAGAGTAGAAATTACAAAACTACAAGAATCTCAATTGAATTCTAAAAAAATAAATTAATTTTATATAAATTTTAAGTAAAGACAGATAAATATATATTCATCCTCATACCTGATTTTATAAATGGGATATTACATGTACTCGTAACTAATCAAACCGAATATTCTTCGTCAAAATTAACATGAGATCGAACATTACTCACGAGTACGAATTTACTTGTTATCCTTATTATAATTTGTATACATATAGAAGTAAATGTCGGTTGTAGTCACATGCAATAATAATAATCTTATATGTAAATATCTATAGTTGATTTCAACTATTAATTATTTTTGTATATAATTTATATAATTTAGTGACTATTATTTATTCCTTTTAACTTTCATGATAAAACATATCTCATAGATAATATTTTTTTGTGTGATTTACACTATGTTTAATACTCTTTTAGATTCAAATATCAATTGAATGTCATAGTTTTCATGCAAATAAATACAGTGAGACAAGATTTACATCTTAAATCAATCAAATAATAATTCAAAATTATGATGCAAATTAAAAAAAAAGATGACTATTTTAATAAAATCAAATCGACTCAAACTTAGAAGATAAAGCACCAAGATGAACATTTAAAAAAATAAAAAAGACTAAAATAAATCTTAAAAATAAGATAGAAGTAGAAAATTATAATTTAGCCTAAAATAAAAAATAATTATAAATAAGAAAATCGTATATATAATCTTGCAACATCATATGGAGTCAAAATAATTTAAGTTTGGTTTAATTTCCTTCTTAGCCTATATACTTACAACAAATTCCTATTTTAGTCCTAAACATTAAAAATAATATATTTTAGTCATTTCATAAACACATTTTTTTCCAAACCAATCTCGGTCGTTAATTTATATTTAATGTCATTTATTTGTTGTTGATGTGACCATAAAAATGTTGATTCAACTTTATTTGATCATTGATGGGTTGCAAAAGGGGTTGTGACATGATACTCACTTGTTAACACAACACCAAAACCTTTAAAAATGGTTGTCACAAGTAGAAGACTTGGCCCTCAAGCCCTCTAACAACCATAGTGCAAATAGTGGTCACGCGTAAATGAATATCGCGACAAGAAGAATGTTGGAAAAGATGGCTGATCCAAGAAGGCAAGGTGAATTGAAATTTACAAAAATCTTTAAGTTTCTTACACAAACTTTTCTAAAAACTTTTCAGTGATTCAGATTGATTTTGTAGTAATGTCAGAAGATTTACAATCATAATATTACATGCAATTTACTCCTACATTATTAAAGAAACAATTTTTTGTATCCCAAGAAGTACTTGTATAACACCCAACTACAACTTTCTTAATTTCTCGAGAAACCTACTCAATAATTCTATCTACTGAGCACAAAAAGATTAAGGAAATTTTTCACATATAGTAAAGAACAATTCAAACTACGTGAATCAAACCAAAATACTTTGCCAGTATTTTGAAGTAGGCGATGATGACAATTCACTTTTGATTCATACTTGAGGTTCAAAGCTCACTCACAAGTGTATTTTTACAAAATTTTAGTTCTTGCAAAGTTTTGATAATGAAAACCAATATATAGAATTTTTTAGTGAAATAATTGATTATTTTATTTTTCACAAATCTGAAAATTCACCACGAACAATCTAATTGATTATTTTGAATAATAATAAATTATTTCAAATAGTTATTTATGCAACAATTGATTATTACAAAAAAGTTTTTCAAGTTACTTAAAAAAAAAAAAACAATTGATTATTACTAAAAATAATTGATAATTTTAAGTAAAAAATTAATATCTTAAATTTTGATATTAGCTATATTTTTCGATCATTTTAAAATCTTACTATCATCATCAATTATCAATCTAGATGAAAAATTAATTAAGTAAAGATTTATCACTTAATGTATGCATAAAGCAAAACAAACACAAAATTAAAATTTGTAATTTTATCTTTCAAGAAGATATATATTATATATACTATATATTTGTAATATCAAAACACTTAATATATTCATCTTGAACTTGAATGTGATCAATAGAGAAGACTCATGTAACTTTTACAACACGAGACAATCCCACATGACAAAAATTATTGGACTTTAAGACCATGTAAACATCACATACGTTAAAAACAAAATTATAATAAAGACTAATTTAAGTAATGTGTTTGCATGGGGACTAAAATGTATTATTCCTAACAATATAAACTAAAAAAGGAAATTTCATATATATAAAGACTTAAAAAAATATTTAAACTTTTAAGTTTTAGGTATTTGAAAAAATTATTAAAAATTACTTCGAAAATGAATTATATGAATAATTAATTATTATTATAATCAATTGTAAATTTATAATCATAATGAACTTTTGTTTAATTAAGTTTTATTTTAAATTATAATGTTTTTAGTTTATTAGAGTCTTAAATCAAGAATTTTGATTTTCGTGTTTGATTGTTATTTAAAAAAAAATCTAAAAAATATAGTTTTATAAGAATTATTTTTATCTCACTTTTTCATAAAAATCATTTTTATGGGGGTTGGAAATTCAATTTTTCTATGTTTGGAAAAAAACTTCATACGTATTAAAAGAGCACAATATCCTTTTTAAAAATCAGAAATCTCTCTATGTCTTTTTTTTTTCCTCTCCCTCTCTTTATTTTTCTTTTTCTCTCTCCCACTCTTACTCCCCCTTTCTCTCCCTCTCCCAATTTTTTTTTTTATTTATTTATCCTTTTCCTTGTCTCTCACACACTCTCACTCCCTTTCTCTCTCTCTCTCCTTCTCCATCTCTTTGTCTCTCTCACTCTCACTCTCTCTCTCTTCCTCTATGCCCTTTCTTTCTCTCCCATATCTCTATACTCTTTATTTATTGTATTTCATTATTTTTCAACCCTGTCAATTTTAATTATATTATTGAAGATCATTTTGTTTTTATAGCTTAATGTGATTTGTTAATAACTTTCATTTATTTTATTTTTAATGCAATAAAATAATATATTTTTATCTTTCTTAATTATTATATATCATTTTTTTGTTTATTTATTTTTTAATTATGTATTTAAATATCTTTAATTATAAAATTTTAACTTTTTAAAATAGTTTAATGCCAAATTTTGTAATAATTTTTTTGTCAAGAATATTTATTTAGTAAAAAATATATTTTTGTAATCAAACATAAAAATATTTAATTTATAAAAATTTTATATAAATATTTTCAAGAATTTTTATGAATAATCAAATATAATTTAACTATTTTCATGAATATGATTATTAGGTATTTTCAGGTATTTTCTGAGAATCATGATTAAAAAACTTCTTCCTTAATCCTTAACACATGTTTAATTTTGTTTGGATTAAAAAAATAATTTTTATGCGATAATTTTGTTTGTAAAAACAAGTTATTTTTCTTAAAAAAGCTATTTATAAGTTTCAATTAATATCTTAAATAGCCAGTTTTTTTATAATATAAATAAATTTATTTATTTATTTTTAGTTTATAGTTTTTTTGAAATAGCTGAAAAGTGAAAAAATAACCTTTCTGAAACACAAGTTAATATATCTTTTTGCCTTTGTTGTACTGCTACTTCCATAATGGTAGTTGTGTCTCTTTTAGGACAAGTAATCTATCCCTACAAGCTACATCAGTTTCATGATTTTTATTTATTTATTTGCTAAGAAAAATAAAAACACACAAACACAACAGCAAAGCATGTGATCATTCATGTGTATCTTTGGTGAGAGAAAAAGCAACCCAGCTTGAATGCTATTACTATAGAGAGGAAAGGGGTCTCTCTGGGTTTTAGCTTTAGCACACACTGTGTTGAAGGGGGAAAGTGAGAGAGAGAGTTGCTGCCGCCAACTCCCATTGAATGCTCCCAACCTTCACTACTTCCGCCTTCTTCTTTACGCCTTTTTTCTCTACACTCTTCTTTCTATTTACCCTGCTCCCTCACTCGCAAAACCCTAATTCCCCCCTCCAAACCTTCGCTTCTTCAATCTCCTCCTGCGCCATCTCCAATTTCACTTTCTCTGCTCCTTTCTTCGCTAGGGTACGCTCTCTCGTCTTCCACTGCGATCAATTTCGTGTTGACGAATTCTGACTACGTCGCTGCCTCTGCTTCATTGAATTTGTTGCTCACTTGTTATGCTGCGAATTCCGTGACACGTTTTGTTTGTGCAGATGGCAGGGGTGGAGAATAGCGACGGGAACGGGAGTGAACGGGAATTAGCGGGAACTAGCGATAACGGTTATGCGGAAGCTGCAGAGCCTAGTGGCTCTGCTGGTGGCGAAGGGAACGATGCCGTTTCGTATGCGAACGTACTGCGTTCGAGGAACAAGTTTGTCGAAGCTCTCGCGCTCTACGAGCGTGTCTTGGAGAGTGACGGCGCAAATGTGGAGGCTCTCATTGGGAAAGGGATATGCCTTCAGATGCAGAATAAGGGAAAGCCTGCGTTTGAGACTTTTTCCGAGGCTATCAAGCTGGATCCTCAGAATGCTTGTGCTCACACGCATTGCGGTATTCTGCACAAAGACGAGGGTCGCCTGGTGGAGGCTGCCGAGGTATGCTTATCACTGTTCAATAACTCTGCTGAAATTGTTGCATTTGCATTGGCTGATGAGGTATTCCTCCATGTTCTATTCGCTAGTTTGAATTTTAGGTCGTAAAGGATTTATTTGTTGATGTCATGCCGTCTTGCTTAGTATGCAGGGTTGCTTATTGTTGTAGATTGACTATGGCGTACAATGCGACTCTAAGTTTATTGTTTATGACCACTGACCAGAGTCTTATTGAGTCTTGCATATGTGCTTGTTAATGAACTTCTCAAAGTTGTAGTTCTTTTGAATGTAAGTGTTATATATTAGAGGGAATAAATGGTAGGGCTTGTTGAACTTGGATATTTATCACAGTTTTTACTAACATAACCGAAATTATTGTTCTGTAACTTGACTGTGCTGTTAATTTTCAATCGTGATTCAATTTTTTTTCTTCCAATTGTTAATTGGAAATCGTATCTCAAAGACACAATGAAAAATAGCTTTACTATATTGTAATAATGATGTATAGTGTTCAATGTGATCATTTCAAATTGCCAAATAAAGTGCATTGAATAAGTGAGTGATGGAGTGAAATGGCTGTTGCAGAAGAATGAAAACAGAGCAGAGTAATCATCACATAGGGTGCATGTAGTAGTGGTCTTCCAGTTCCTTTTCATTTAACTGTTTGTGCTTATCCAACTTTCATTTTTTTTAATGAGAATTAGAATTTTTGCAAAAAAAAGCACAACTAACGAATTGGTGAATCATGTGATTCACATCTATAACACAAAATCACTCTGATTCATCCATGTATCTCATGATAGCCATCTAGGTTCATTACACAATAAAAATTGATCACTGTTAATCAAATTTATCACAATGTAAATCATGCTAGTGTTTATAGATGTTGAAAATTTGTGTGGATTATCACTGTTAATCAAATGATTTACTTGGAACAGTCATATCAGAAGGCTTTACAAGTGGATCCTTCATACAAAGCAGCTGCTGAATGCCTTGCCATTGTTTTAACAGATATTGGTACCAACACAAAGCTTGCAGGGAACACTCAGGATGGAATTCAAAAATATTTTGAAGCCCTCAAAGTAGATCCGCACTATGCTGTATGTAATTATTTCTTATTCATTAAACGAATTAATTTTTTTAGCTTTCCATTTGCATGATATATATTTTTATTTTATATGAACTTTGCAGCCTGCATACTATAATCTTGGTGTGGTCTATTCTGAAATGATGCAATATGACATGGCCCTCAATTTCTATGAAAAGGCTGCATTAGAGAGGCCCATGTATGCTGAAGCATATTGCAATATGGGTGTGATCTTTAAAAATCGTGGTGATTTGGAATCGGCTATTACTTGTTATGAGAGGTACTCTATAATATCTTTAGCCTTGTCTTCTTTTTCTGAGTGAAGTTTTGCATGTAATTGTTATTTGTTATTTTAATTAATAATAACTTGACTTCTACTGTTGGGTCTTATGATCAATTGATGTTTTGTGGCAGGTGTTTAGCGGTTTCACCTAACTTCGAGATTGCAAAGAATAATATGGCTATAGCTTTGACAGATTTGGGAACAAAGGTGACACATTCGAAATTCCTCATAATGCTAAATGTTTTTCAAATTGAAATAGCCTTTTTTTTTTTTGTTTTGTTTATTTGATGTTCTTTTTCTTTTTCAACTAAAAGGTGAATTGCTTTAATCATCACCTTGTTTTTGATACAACTAGTCTAGGGACATTTTATTCTTATCTTTATTCAATAGTGATAAATTTATCATTATGGAGATTGTCATATTTTTTAAAAAGAATAAATCTAATGCATTGTAAAGTTGCATGCTTGGTAGGGGTGGAAACAGTGGGTCTGTTGCTTAAGAATTGACACTTTCACCTTCTTTATTCTTAATATTAAAGGTGCTTTGATAAAATATAGTGTCCTTGTTCTTTGGGAATTGAGAAGCAATTTTGGTAAAATTCAAAGTCATGGCTTGAGTCCGGTAATTACTGGTTTGTCAGTTAATGTACCCAACAGTGGTGGTAGTCATGTGCACTGCATTTCCCTTTTAAAGTGCATCTGTTGATGCTCTGTTCTGTTGTTTTCCTTGTTTGCCATCCTTAATGACATTCGTTTACATCTTTGGATCATTTCTATCTTACTGAGATAGTTATTTTGTTTTATAGGTTAAATTGGAGGGGGACATCAACCGAGGTGTGGCTTTGTATAAGAAAGCTTTGTATTACAACTGGCATTATGCTGATGCCATGTATAATCTCGGGGTTGCGTATGGTGAGATGCTTAAGTTTGATATGGTACGTCTAGGACAAGCATACCTATATTCTACCCACACTACTGCATGTATTTTATTAATACACATCACACATGTGTATTAGTCTGTGCTAATTATATTGTTGGAAATTCATTCTGTACTATTTTAGGCCATTGTGTTCTATGAACTTGCTTTTCACTTCAATCCACATTGTGCGGAAGCCTGTAACAATCTTGGAGTTATTTATAAAGATCGTGAAAACCTTGATAAAGCTGTAGAATGCTACCAGGTAACAGTGATGATCACTAATTTTGTTTCACTATTGCTGGATTGTATAGATATATAATCACAATCTATTATTTTTGTTATGCAGCTTGCCTTGTCAATCAAACCTAATTTTTCACAGTCATTAAATAACCTTGGTGTAGTATACACTGTCCAGGTTAAGTATTGCACATTTCCTGAATTTTGGACTTGTCAAATATCTTCAGTAAGTGATTGTTTTTCTTCCTTCTACAGGGTAAAGTGGATGCTGCTGCAAGTATGATTGAGAAAGCTATCATTGCAAACCCGACATATGCAGAAGCATACAATAACCTAGGTCTTTTTATCGTTTCTTTTAGTATTATTTGTTTGGTTATTGATGTTTCACTGCACTTAGAAGTGATTGTCCTAGTCAAGGTCGTGTTAATTTATGAATAGCAACTTACAGGCATAATTTTAGAGTGGGTAATTATATGATTAACGTGTGGATGGTTTTTTGATTTTGTCTTTTCAAAGTTACTTGGTTACCAAGCATCAGTTTAATGGTCATGTATCTACTAATGTAACCCGAAGACATTGTGGTGATATATTTGGATCCAATTGCAAGGTATGGGACTTTGGTGCCACATTGGAAGTATGAGATTCAGGGAAGGATCTACAATTTAGAGTTTGCGGGGCAACTGCCCCCAGAAACTTCTAAATTTTTCTCAATATAATATACATGTATAATTAAAAATTGCCCTCATAATTTGAAATATATAATAAAAAAATTCCATTATATGAGTATTGCCTCCTTAATTTATGTGTGTGTATATGAGTAGTATTGTTCCAACTACTACTGCTAACTTTTTGGTGTGATTCTACCAAGTTTCTTATAATTATTGAGTTCCGTTTTAGACTTTTATCATCATGGTCAGAAGACAATGGCAAAGAATGCTCATATACAAGTCAAGTATACTTGATTTCTCTTTGGTTAGGAATTTTCTTTGGTAGTTAAATAGTTATTTAATTGATATATTCCTCGAGATTAGCCAAGTAGCTGGTTATAAATCTTTTCTTGAATTATGTAAAACAAAAAAATGTTATGTTGAAATGATATTAGTGCTGCCTACTGAAGCAAGGGTAAGACAACTAAAATTGCTGTGAAACATTATTTTGAGCAATATAATGTTCTGTGTCAACTAGTTTTGAAAAATGTAACTGTGTTTGTATTCTTTGCATTGATCCATAGAGGATTCTGCAATTCATCCTACCACTTCTTCTCCCCTAAATAAGCTGTCATTGTTTTTTATTTTTCATCCTACCACTTCTTCTCCCCTAAATAAGCTGTCATTGTTTTTTATTTTTCATCCTACCACTTCTTCTCCCCTAAATAAGCTGTCATTGTTTTTTATTTTTCATCCTACCACTTCTTCTCCCCTAAATAAGCTGTCATTCTTTATATTTAAATTTTAATTACAAAATATGATTTATTGCACAGGCATATGGCAGTGAAATTCTGAGCTCATCATCTTTCATCATATGCTTATCTTTTCTATTTACGTTGTACAGGAGTTCTTTATAGGGATGCTGGTGATATAGCTCGTGCAATTAATGCTTATGAGCAATGTCTTAAGATTGATCCTGATTCTCGAAATGCTGGCCAGGTGTGGTGCATAATGGGTGATTCTTTTGTCCATTTTGTGTTCTGTAAATTGTTTAGACACATGCAATCATGCATCAAATTCATAGCAGTGTACCTTACGAGCCTCTGTCTTCTGTTTAGGAGTTGGTTTATATTGGAAATGGGGTTCATGTTAAACTAGATATATTGTGGTGGTGCGTACCTATTATGTAAGCATATTATGGTCCCCATGATGTAGAGTGTATAGGTTAAGTTTTATTGCAGGAGAGTGAGCTTTCAGTTTGGGATCTAGGTTATAAAGGGAGAAAATAAATTGGTGTTTAAAATCTGATGAAGTGCCTGGAATAAGTGTGTGAAGTTGACTATTTTAGGAATCCATGAAAGATGGGTATGGACATCCCTTTAGATTTTAGATTGTAATGATTTTTGGTTTTGCTTGGTAAAATGCCAGCCTGCATAGCTAATTATGATTACGAGTGTGTTTTGCCCAATTCTTTTTGACACATCTCCTTGAAAGGAGAATGAGATTTTCATTAAAAGTTCTTAAAAAAATAGCAACTTATTTCATAGAACAAAATTTGAAAAAAAGTAGCTTATAATTAAGTGTGGTGAGTTCAACTCACCGTAATTCATGGAACCAACAAACAATTGCTTTTATAGGGAACTCACCATGAATTTATCTATTTTGTTGCTTCCAAAAATCACGGTTAGTTCAATTCACTACCAATGCAAACACACGCAAAGTTGAAGGGGGGACTTTTTTTTGTAGCTCACAAGAAGCTTAGCTGTGCAGTTCCCTCTTCGAATCCCAATGTGACAAAAAATATCATTTTTTCCCATTGATTACCCAATTTAAGTACTTCCCCAGTTTTCCCTTCAAATAATATTGATATATATTAATTTATTTTAAATTATGTTTATTTATTGTAAGGTCTTCATTTGTTTTTAAATGATTTACTAGTATTTTAGCCTGTGCATTACACAGGCCAAATATTTATTATATATTATTAAAATTTATAATAAATTA